ACACATTTTCACAGGCAGAGTCTAGAGTACAGCACCAGGCTCTTAAGAGTGAACTGATAGTTGCTGGACTGATAGTTGCTGGACTGATAGTTGCGCTTTTGTGAATGCTGCTTCCGTTCTGCTTATCTCTATTTTCTAATTTCCTTTTCTAGGAGAAATATAAATAATTCTTAGGTAGGAAAATAAACTGCAAAGTCTTTTAAGCTCTCCAGTGCACCCTCTGCCTTTCACTCCTGTCTCTGTTCTGTGGCTTCACACCAGGCTTCACATGTTTACGTTTAAATCTATCCGGAGAGACAGAAGTCTAAACACATCCAAGAATATAAATGATGACCTCTGCTATACTTCCCATGCACATCCACTAAGACCCCACTGTGGGCCTCGTCTCCACTTCATCTCCTGCCCAGATACTTAGACATAAATCATACTTGCTAACTAGGCACTGCTGAGGGGCCACCACCGTCACCTGCACTTGCAGGGGTCTGTGGAGGGGCCATGCTCACTTCCTCACATGGGAGACACTGATGAGCCTTTCATGACTCTCTTCCTGATGAGACACAGTCACTTAACATTTCTGAATGCTCCCGAGAGGTCAAAAGTCTGCTCACCACCCCCCCTCCACTAGTCTCTGCTATGAAATTTATTTCCATTTGGACAAAAACAAAGAGCTTCAAAGAGAAAGGGGAAAGTGGGGAGAGAAAACAGAGAAGTCGTTCTTGCGCACACTGAAAATGGCTTACACATTTTCTACACAACATTCCCCCTCTGGAGAGCAACAAATCCTGTAAAACTGGAAGGGGGAGAGCTCTAAACGAGGTCAACTGTTAGTGAAACTGGGAATAGTGACAGCATTACGCATGCGTGACTGAAGGAACAGGCACAGCCAGCTGGCTAGGCCCTGGCATTAGTCAGATCAACCCTCATGCCAGCGTTTCTCTTGCTATCTCAGACCATGTGCAAGAGAGTAATTTTTTGAGACTTTTATTTTACTCATTTGTAATCTGCCCCCCCCCAAAAAAAAACAAAAAAAGGGATGCTTGTGAAGGGTTGACCAATGAAATGCCTTGAATTTCTGACCTCAATTTCATAATCTGTGGATGTGGCTTAGTCTTGCAGAAGGTTCCTCGCTTGTGTATGAAGCCGTAGCTACTGATGTCAACAAAAGACTCTCACAATGGAGTGGAAAGTGGAGCCACCAAGGTGGGGGGCAGTAACTCTGAGGACCAGTAGATACTAGAAGAGTAGAGATAGAGGCAGAGGTGAAAAACCCAACACCGTTGATACATTTTTAGCTGAAAAGAATGCAGGTATGAAAAGGTCTGGGACTCTGCTGAGCCTGTGGGTGAGGCTCGTTGGGCAGGGCGGGATAGTGTGTGCAAGCTGGCTGGAGAGGATGTCAGTCTGGGTCCTGACTGCCCACCACAATCTCCTAGTAGCTTGGAAAGGTCCCAGGTTCAGGTTGCTTGCTCTGGGGATGGCCAAGGAACCATTTTTTTTTTCATTCGACCTATATTTCATTCTTTTTAATGCAGTGATATTTAATTTAATTAGGTAAATTCCTTTATTCACATTGTATGTGTAATACAAATTATGTATTTTATTGTGATAAAATTCACCCTTCCGGGACTGGAGAGATAGCTCCATGGTTAAGATTCTTGCTGCTCTTCCAGAAGACCTGAGTCTGGTTTCCTACCTATGTTGAGTGGCTCACAACTGTCCATAACCACAGCTTCATGGGATGAGAGGCCCTCTGCAGGTACCCACACATGCACGTGTGCGTACGCACGCATGAGCGCGCGCACACACACACACACACACACACACACACACACACACACACACACACACACGAAAATGAATCTTTGAAAAATTAACCACATTAAAGAATAAACATCTAATTCATTTAGCGCAATCACAACACAGCCACCCTCTGCAGGTAGTTCCAGAACATTTCATCATCTTCAAAAGCTAAGCCTGTAGTCCTAAAGCAAATGCCTTCTTTCTCACTTCTAGCTGCTTAGCTTCATGGATTTGTCCACTCTCAATATTCCACAGGGTTGGAATAACACCACGTTCCATCTCTCTTGCAATTGGCTTCCTTTGCCAGGCATAGTTTTAAAGTTCATCACATTGCAGTATGTACCACTGCCTCATTTCTTTCTATGGCTGAATACTATCGTATAGATAGACCTCATTCTTCTTATCCATTTGTGAACTGACGGATATTTGAGTTGTCCACACAGTTTGGCTATTGTGAACAATGCTGCTATGAATACATGTTTATGAGCATTTGTTTGAGTGTCTGTTTTTAATTCTTGTGTGTCTATTCCTGGGAATAGAATTGCTTCATCATTTGGCATATTTAAATTAGAACACTATCCCCTGCCCCCCATGTGCCCCTTTCTGTAAGGTTCTCTGTAAAGTTAATACTGAGAAGAGGGACGCATACAGAGAAAAGACATGTGGATGAGGCTATGAGAGGTTTTATGTCCAAAGCGCTGGTAAACATCCAGAGCCCTCCAGAAATACAGCAGAAATAGTGGGATATAATATATATGTGGAGATGGTAGAGATGTTACAGACACAGAAGAAATCACCTCAGGGAAGAACCATCAGCAGCCAGCAAGATGGCTCACTTGCTCACTGCACCTAGAATGTACAATGCAAATATCAAACTTAGAACTGAAGTTGTCTTTGGGTGGAAGTTTACAGGTCAACCAACAATGCAGTGGCATCTAAAAGTCCTGATAGGAAAATGAACGACACCTACCCTGCTGACTACAAAGGACCTTGTGCAAATTTTTAACTGCACAGGAAATACTGGAGTACAGCAAACTGTAATTAGTAAAATTGAGTATAATTTAATCAAAATATGTAATAGACTTCCAAGGTCAAAAATTATATAAACAAAGACTAATTTACTTTCATTTACCTAAATATTATGGAGCAGGTATTTGGCGTGTATCAGTTGAGGCTGGCACACTTGAATGCCCCAAAAGCGTCAGTGAGAAGGGCCTTAGACTGAGATGGGGTTTTGCTCTGTTCTACAAACTGGCTTGATCTCCTAGGCTCAAGCAATCCTCCTGTCTCAGTTCTCTGAGTAGTTGGGACTACAGTAGCATCTTCTGTGCCTGGTTGGAGGGTGTTTTATGGGGCCACTGCTCTTAGAATACAGGGACATTTTCAGTGTAGAGACGAGATCTTTGGGAGTATCTGGGCTTACTGGGGACCTGTGTGTATGGGTGTGGGGGGGATGAGAGTCCTCTTCTCACTACTTAAATCTGTCTTAGTTTGAAGGAATTCTTATATTATATTATATTATGATAACATTCAACCATCTACAAATCCATATTGAAAAGAAAATATTTAACCATTTCCCAGAAAACTATTTTTCTGAAAAAAAAACCCCACCACTTTTTCTTCTGCATTTAGAGAAAAGAGTAACTCAAAAACGCTGATATTTTCAACATGGAAAGTGAGAATTAAGGCCAACTTTGTGCGCAAAGTCACATGTGAAATTTGGCTTACAATCTTGAACACAGGTGAAGCAACAGAACGCTTTGTTTATAAAGTATGTGCTCAGTTTTTGTTGTTGCCATTTTTAAATCAGAAGTGTGACACCAGCCAAGAAATGTCTGAGAGCAGGGACGCTGGAAACCACCTTGGAACTTTCTAATGAACACTTCTACGTAGGAGACGGTCACTGTATTCAACTTGAGATCGACTCTCGGTGCCTATCGCAGTTCAGGCTCTTTCTAGTGCCATCCTAAGGTCTGCCCGTGTGACACACGCAGCCAGGAGAAGGCAGCCTATGCAAGGGGAGGACACGGTGTTTGTCTTTAACACAGAGCAGCTGGCTAGGATGGAGCCTGCTCCTGCAGTTCTCCCCTGGCAACCCAGATGCACACACTTTTCCCCAGGGAAGCCTCTATAAGGGGTTAGCCTGTTGGCAGCTTACTAGGCTGGTCCATCTGGTTTCCTCTTGTCCCTGGTGCTACTGTTGGCTTCAGCCACTGACAAGCTGGGGATTGCTCCTTGATGAACAGTGCAGGTGGCAGGCAGAAGTGACTGGCCAGCACTTGTAGATCAGGTAGAATGATAATAATTTCTAGTGTTAAAGAACTCATACGCCGGGCGGTGGTGGTGGTGGTGGTGGTGGTGGCGGCGGCGGCGGTGGCGGCGCACGCCTTTAATCCCAGCACTCGGGAGGCAGAGCCAGGCGGATCTCTGTGAGTTCGAGGCCAGCCTGGTCTACAAAGTGAGTTCCAGGAAAGGCGCAAAGCTACACAGAGAAACCCTGTCTCAAAAAACAAAAAAAAAACAAAAAAACAAAAAAAAAAAAAAAAAGAACTCATAGAAGTCAGGTCCCACCCACTTAAAACTCAGCATCTTAGACACAATGAGAAACTACAGAAGACAGGATTCCCAGCATGCTTTTCCCTCTTCTGGTTATCATGGGCCCTTTACCTATGATGGCCTCTTATCTTCCTAGTAGATTATTTTCATAATTCCGACTTTCACATCTCTATCAGAAGTGGACCTCCATGTTATGTGTAGTCAATGTCAGCAACAGCCATCCTCAAAAGTCTTCTCAGACTCCATAAGAGCCAATGAAGACTTTCGGTTGAGTGGTGTAATGGTTAGTTCTAATGGTCAGTTTGCCTAGGTTAAGAAGCACTTATTGCTATAATTAATCATGTCTTTGGGTGTGTCTGTGCAGGTGTTTTCAGAGAGCTTTAAATGGGGATGGAAGACTCACCCTGAATTCGCATGCCACCACCCCATGGAGTGATAAGAAACAGAAGCATAAAAGCTACTTGCTCTTTGAGCAAAAAATCTATGAATCAACAGCCAAAGATAAACCTACATTTTTGTTTAGTTTTTTTTTCTATTTTTAACATAGAAGTTGAAGCCGAGACTTTCTGTTTATCGATTCCTCTAGAAGCCCACAACACAGACACATCAAGATCATTGGTTGGGCACAACCTAAGCATTCTCACCTGCAGCAGATGACTGCTTTGCATGAGAGGGCCAGGTCCAGGAAACTTCTGCGAACTTCAAAGGAGAGCGCATACTTCAGGGTGTGGCCATCGATGATGAGGGCCACGTCGTTCTCTTTGCCCAGCAAATTTCCAAGGTCCGTGCAGTGCTGAGTGATGGCAGCCCGTGTTGCCTAGAAAAAGTGGAAGAGGATGATGTTTGTGGGCTTCATACATAAAAGGCAAACTCAAAGTTTCTTAAAATGAGAAGATGGGACAAGGAAAAACACACAGTTCAACTTGCTACAGTCACTAGCATGCATTCTCTGGCTCATTGATGGGTAAAGCATCATCAGAGTGAGAGACCCTATGATATTCACAAAGATCCAATCTGGCTGAAGGGTACAATCTAGTGATGCAAAAACTCTTCCCAATGGGGCTCTCACTCTCTCTATATATGTACTCTCTCTCTCTCTCTCTCTCTCTCTCTCTCTCACACACACACACACACACACACACACACACACACACACACACGTGTGTGTGTGTGTGTGTATGTATGTAATGATGTACATATATGCATATACATTCTTTTAATGCTCTTAAAAAGGAACCTCAACAAAAGCACACATGCTTAACAAAAGCATGACCAGAACTTACAGGACAAACACTATCATTTCTCAGTTTGCACAAGATAAAGTTTTAAACAACCCAGAAGGGGTATGATATAAAAAAAATGTTCACATGAAGATTAACTTGCACATCTACTGAACACTTCAGATTATACTGTTGTCTCCCTGTATCAAGGAGATAAGAAATGAGCTGGTCATTCTCACATGGAAGAAACCGTCTAATCAAATTCAACTGCTCATACCAACCAAACCACTGCCATCAGCCTGAACAAACACTGTGAGGTGTCTATTGTTACATGCAAAGCATGAGAATCATTCCCATAATTAATAAAAGATGTTCTTGTATGGAGGAATGTATGGGCTCAAATATAAGAATGCACCTTTTGGCTGATTAAAAAAATGCAGCTTATGTTTATTCAGAAAGCACAAAAATACACCAAAATTATTCTTTCTGGACAATGGATCTTTTGTCTATGAAGCTACATTTTCATGTAATTTACCTTATGGTAACCTGACTTTTGGTTTGGAAGCAGAGAGTTTAATGGACAGGCACTTTTCTCCCCTAGTCACACTGAAGCTCACTGCTGCTGGCAGTGAGAAACTGCTTCCACTCTCTCTGTCCAGTTTTCATTCTCAATAAGATACCAAGACACAGAAAGACATGTAAGGATACATACTCTGGAACTGCACACTATGGCTAGACACCTTATTTTTTAATAAAAATCTCTATAACTTAGTTAGCTCTAGTCCAAATTCCACACTTACCACCTCTTTGATACTGGACAAGATACTTCACCTCTTTAACTGGCATTTCTTCCTGTACAAAATGAGGCTAGGAAAACTTCCTAGCACTTTAGTTATGGACAAGTGACCTGATCCAAATAAGGAACCGAGCGTGGGTTTGACACACAGTTAACACTGAATGAAGCCCTTTCTTGTACTCCTAGTATTTATTCAGGAGGAAAGTCTTATATTGAGGAAAACACATGACAGAGAATAAAGGCCACCACTGAGAAGGCCTTGCCACACTGTAATGAGGGATGAATAATTAATAGAACAATGCTCTCCCAGTCAAAGTTACACTGATTTCTATTAAAAATAAAACTTTATGCATTTCATCCTTAGTTCTACCATTCTGAGTCTCAAATAAGCATCTTGGAAGCATCTATATTTTTTTAATGATTTACTTATTTTTATATTATGTGCATTGATGTTTTGCTTACATGTTTGTATGAGGGTGTTGGTCCCCTGGTACTGAAGTTACAGACAGTTGTAAGCTGCCATGTGGATGCTGGGAATTGAAACGAGGTCCTTTGGGAAAGCAGTCAGTGCTCTTAACCGCTAAGTCATCTCTCCAGCCAGGAAGCAGCTATGTTTATCTATAGAAACAACCTGGCCTTTAGCATTTAGATGGATAGAAGGTAATCTTTTCCACTTTGCCAAGACCTGGGTTGACAAGACAGGGGTCTAGTTTGTCAGGGGTCTATTCATACAGGACAGGAAACCGTCCTGAGACTACATCACTGTTGGGACATAGTCCTGAGCTAGACCACAGTCTAGCTCAGTGCCTTCCATCCCAGTGGCTGCCCCATGGACATGCTTTGGCCCAAGAAGGAAAAAAGTTGATAAATAAAATTCCCTGAGATACAGTGATCACAGTTTTCATATGAGGGCATAGCATATACAGAGACATCGCTGAGTGCGATTAGGGAGGGCAGCTTTCATGTTTGGACTGTTTCTAGACTATGCATGTGGGTAGACTAGACACTAGTTGCCTTTCATCATTAGAGGGGTAGAGGCTCCAGCTTTAGCTGCTGAACACCATTAGTGAGGGGGGAGGAGCTGGGAAAGGGGGGCTCTAGGGCTGGAATTGGGAGGGCATTTTCAGAATAAGAATGAGCAGTGGGAAAATGAATGACAGAAAGGTGACATTATGGTTTATATGTGCCCCCAAAGTTCATGTGGAAACTTCATCCCAATATGGCAGTGTCAAAAAGTGGGACCTGCCGGGCGGTGGTGGCGCACGCCTTTAATCCCAGCACTCGGGAGGCAGAGCCAGGCGGATCTCTGTGAGTTCAAGGCCAGCCTGGGCTACCAAGTGAGTCCCAGGAAAGGCGCAAAGCTACACAGAGAAACTCTGTCTCGAAAAACCAAAAAAAAAAAAAAAAAAAAAAAAGTGGGACCTAATAAGGGTCATCAGGTTACTGTCCCCACAATGAACCGACAGAAGTATTGCAAGAGTGAGTGTTTTTAAAAGGGACTCACTCTTGTCTATCCCCTTCCCTCCCAATCTTCTACTTAGGAAGACACAAGAAGACTGTGCTGGCTAGTTTTGCCACAACTTGATGTGAGCCTGTCATTTGAAAAGAGAGGATCCCAGTTGAGAAAATGCCCCCACCAGATTGGCCTGTGAGCAAGCTTATGGGGCATTTTCTTCATTGATGATTGATGTGAGAGGGCACAGATCATGGTGGGCTGTGTCACCCCTGGGCTGGTGGTCCTGGATGCTATAAGAAATCAGGCTGAGAAAGGCATAAGGAGCACTATGGTAAGCAGCACTCCCCCAGCGCCTTCTGCTTCAGTTCCTGCCTCTAGGTTCCTGCTTTGAGTTCCTGGCCTGACTTCCATTGGTGACGGAGTATGACTTAAATTGAAGGAATCTCTTTCTTCCCCCCAAGTTGTTTTTGTCATGGTGTTTTATCATAGCAATAAACCTAACTAAGACAAAGGCCTTTTCCAGATGCAGTCCTCAGACTAGGACTTCTCATCCCATACAATCATGAGCCAAATACATTTCTTTTGTTCATAAAGCACTAAGTCTGGGTATTCTGCTGTAGAGCAGAAAGCAGTCTAAGAAACAACACCTGGGAAATTTATGATTCTGAGATGTGGACAACCTTCCTTCTCCAGGCAAGCAAAAGAAAGACCTGGAAAAAGTCCTGGAGTTTCCACAGCAACAGAGGCCCTGGACCAGAGCAGCACTCACATCCACTCTTTTTGAGAGTCTATTCCCATCTTACAATGCAGGAAGCAAAGGTCTTAACCATAAAAGGTGTTCCTTGAATCCTCCCAAAAGACTAAATAAAAGCCCTGTTATAAAGCAGAGCCTGGAGGAGGCGATCAGATCACAGGGGTGGAGTCCCTGTGATGGGGTTCTGGACAGCAATAGATGGAAGCATGCTTGCATTGCCTCCCCTTCCCTCCCCTCTCTCCTCTCCTCTCCCCTCCTCTCTCTTCCCCTCCCCTCTCCTTTTCTCCCCTCTCTTCCCCTCCCCTCCTCTCCCTTCCCCTCCCCTCCCCTCTCCTTCCCTTTCCTCTCCTCCTCTCCCCTCCCCTCTCTTCCCCTCCCTTCTCCTCTCCTCCCCTCCTCACCTCTTGTCTCCTTTTTCTCCATCCTCTTCCCCATCATGTGCAGGACACAGTAAGATGAGGGCCATCTGAAAACTAGCATCTAACCTTGATACGGACTTCTCAGTCCCCAGAACCATGAAGAAAATGCCTATTCTAGCCTCGGCAGCCATGGTGGTTTTGCTATAATAGAAGGAGCTGACTACACCCACAGACAGCTGCTTGGGTGGTGAGCTCCAGGGTTCTTGTCATCATAGACACTTGGATGAAACAGGCACAGCACCACAAGGCCACCGCGACCGGAGGACCAATGCTGTTAGTGTTTGGAAGAGCCTTCCAATGAAGACCTCTGCTACAGATGCCTGCACAGCACACGGGAGAAAACCACATGCAGAGCAAGCTACAGAGCCTGGGAGAAGCTGTGTGCTTTAAATGCGGGATACCTTAGTTTAGGAGGTCTATCATGAACAGGAACTTAGGGGCTCATGATGATAGAGGCTCAAAGTCCGAGATTAGGAGGCCAGCATTGGTTGGCAAGCCTTCATGTTTTGTCACCTCATGGCAGAAGGACAATGGGGGGGGGGGTAGAGGGAGGGAGAGAAAGAGAGGGAGGGAGGGAGGAAGGGAGGGGGAGAGAGAGAGAGAACTTAAAGCCCTAAGTTCTTCTATGTGGCATTAGCCCATTCACAATTACCTATTGTTAGACACTATTTTCCAACACTATTACCAAGAATTAAATTACCAACACATGAACTTGAATGGACACATTCACACAGTAGCAGTCACTAATACAGAGCTGGAAGACAGGACAATGCTCCAGCAGCTGGGATACATGTAAAAGTGGATGGTGGCATCTCATGGCTGTATTAAAAGTCAACTGCACATATACAGTGGATACCCTCTCTAAAGAGAGAACCAAACACTACTAAGATGTTTCACATTTTATATTCTATTCACCAAAGAATTCAGTCACGTTAGTTCAAGTTATATGAGCTAAACTCTGTTTTAATCAACTAATCATATCTACTCATCAGAGGAGCGACCATTCTACCTAGGTAATAAAAACAACATGATACACAGGCATATACACTTTATGCAATCTACTGTGAATCTTACTGTGCAACCAAGACAACAAGTCTAAAAAATGATGAGAAGTATACAAAGGTAAAGATTAAGTCAGACAACCATAATATTCTCTGAGCATTCTGTGTGTT